ACGTTTTGTAAAACTGATTTCTACATTCGATACATACTAATGATGGAAATATATTAAACAAAATAATATTTTTGAACACAAGATTACTTGTGCTTTTACTTGTATTCCCCCCTGAAAACATTAAAAACTCAGAAAAATATAGGGGTATGAACTCACCGTTAATTACGTGCAAGCGTCGAATCAATGAACTGGAAACGAAGACCCTCGAGTTGTTGTACGTGGCACTTAACGGAATCTTGATAAAAATTAAATACATATATGTATCTAAATTAGCGATTTCATTAAATAAAGTGTTGGAAAAACACTTGCTTTCAGTTAAGGAATGTTACCGGGATTTGACTGAATCGAGAAGACGAGTTTTTCACTGCTTAAATGGCGTGTACGGCCGTGAACAGGGGTGTACGGCCGTAAACAGGGTGTACGGCCGTGAACTCTTCTTTGAGGGGTGTACGACCCTTTGCAGATTTGAAGGGTGTATGGCCGTACACTCAAGAACAAGGGTGTTTGATTTCGAAGAAAATGTGTTCCAGATGCTCCCAATCGATTCCAAATGACGATTTTCGATGTTTTCGGAAGAAAAGAGGTGTTTTTAGTGTGTACGGTCAGAAGTTCTAGAGAGAGAATGAGAGAGTTTTCGGCCAAGAGTGTTCAAATGAGGGTGGGGGTCCTGTATTTATAGGCTGGGGGTATGGTCGGTGGTGGGGTCCACCTGGCACCAACCGTATACGGGTGTGCGGCCGTACCCAGGTGTGCAGCCGTACATGGGTGTGCGGCCGTACACGGGTGTGCGGCCGTACACTCACTTAGGCCGAAAACGGGTTTGTTTTTCAAGGACTTCGTGTTTTCGTGTGATTTGGTTCCCACTCGCTTATATAAATTTAATTATATAACACTAAATGATTTTCCAAACCGAAGGAAATTGACGGAACCTAATAAAATAAAATTTTATTAACGGAATTTGGATAACGGAAATGGAAAAGGTTCGGGTTGTCACATAATGTTTCCTATGAGTAGTATTATCATCAACATACAATACTAGGATGACTACAACACTCCCACTTGCTTTGACATGTAATCAAGACTAATATGAACTTTTAAAAAGACAATATTCTTTGACTTTCTTATGGAAGAACGGATTCCTTGCTACGCGATGCTTGCTTAAATATACAAATAGATTTTCAAGTTTACACACCTTGTTTGGATACTTTATATGTTTAAATCCTTTTTAGAACATGTCATATATCCTTTGAAAGTTTCCTATTGAGGAAAGTCATTTAAACATCCACTTTACCGTATCTTATATCAAAGAAGGCAACAATGGTAACAAATAACCAAATAGACCTTTCTCAGCTACTGATGAGAATGTTTCCAAAACTTCAATTTCTTGAGCTTGAGTGAAACTCTTTTCCACCATACTAGCTTTGAATATGTGTATATTCGTATCCATGTTAGTATTCATAATATCTAATTGCAACCCAGTGTCATAAGACTAGGTTTAGGATCAACCATTTTCAAACATGGTTTTCCTTCATGGACAAAATTTTGCTATCCTTAGACTCTTCTCACTGTCAGCCATAGGAACCACAATTGCTTCCTAGTAGCTATTAGGCTTATCCAAATTGATCAATGTTTTATCACTAATCAACATATCTCCTTCCACAGTTAGATGAAATTCATAATACTCGGAGGTGCTCCAACTCTAGTAGATTTTACAAAGAGGTAGGGCAATGTCATTTGACTCAGTTGGTATTTCAACCTCAAGTTGAGAGCTAGTGCCAACTATATGTTTATTGTTGGTCATATATCAAATTTCTTCAAGGTTAATATGACTCCCACTAACTTCTTGATCTGCATATGTTCTTTCTCTCAAGGAACATTCCTTTTGAGCTATAAGCATCACATATATCAAAAGTGTTAAGTGAATACCCGACAATGTAACACTTCTCAAATTTCAATTCAAGTTGGTCATTGGTTTATCGTCCACCAAAAGAGCTCACAACACCAGATTCAAATATGAGGGAACTTTCCAAATCCACATTTCATGAGGTGTTTTCAAACTTACTTACATAGTTACAAGGTTTAAATTATGATCAACTGGTTCAAGTGTATATTCCCAAAATGTAATTGGTAGCGAAGCACGACTCATCATATATCGAACCATATAGTGTTCGATTCTCCTTTTAGTAACATCATTATATTTTGGTGTCCTCAGAGAAGCCAATTATGGAAATCATTCCACAATCTCTACGATGATCGTAGAGCTCAATACTAAGGCATTTTCCTTTCCTTTAAGATTGGAGATCCTTTATCTTCATACCTAATTGACTCCCTACTTTGTTCTAATACTATTGAACTATTCAAAGTGTCAAACTTGCACTTAATCATATGAACACAATCACATCTAGTGAAACTATCAATAAATATGATGTAGTAGTATATGTCGTCACTTGTGGTGGATCTGATAGGTCTACACATATTAGTGTATACAAGACCTATCAATCCTTTATCTCCATTACATTCCCATATAAATGGTGACTAAGTTATCTTGCTAACATACAAGACTCGCATACATCTTCCAACTCAAGGTTGAATGATTCCAATTATGGTCCAATTGGAGCTTGGTGATGCGGTTATCACTAATGTGGCTAAGGCGATCATGCCACAAGCATGATCATATCTAAACTATTAGTGGAATCAATACTCAAGTCATCACTGCTATTATTAGAAACACAAACTACAATTTCAGGAATTTCATTTGCAAGAAGAAGTTTTAAACATAAAAAACCATCTTTATAGACTACAATTGTCACATTTCCATTATGAAACGGAAATTATTATTCATGTTTATGCAACGCATAAAATGAAATTTTATTTCTAGACATATCCGAAGAGTAATAGCAAATAACTAAATCTATTATAACTCCATTACTATGCACGAGCTCAAAATCCTTAATCCTCAAGACATGTGACACTTGTCCATTCTAATGATTAGGTTTAACTCTTTATGCTTAACTTCGTTCTTTTCTTCAACTCCTACAATGCCATATAAATGTGATTATTCAAGTACATATAAATATGATTATTCAAATCTTACAATGCCATATAAATGTGATTATACATCATACATCAAGGAACCACAAATTGTATGTATTTGAAGTTTAATTATTCAAGTACTTGATGTAGAGTCTAACATTTGACTTTACCATCCCAAAATACTTAGGACAATCTCCGTTTCCATGATCCTTGTCATTACATAAATTTGCAACTTGCCTCTCTTGAATAAAGACAATAACTGAGGGTTATTATTATTACTATTATTACCATTATTAATTATTTAGTAATACCATTTTATAAAATGGTTTTAAAAAAATTGCCCAAAAATCATAGCCCCCAAACATTTTTTTATCGTGGAAAACGTTTCAAGACATGTTTCTATCTTTGTTTTTTAAGGAGAGAAATGAAAAAAAAAATGTTAGTAGAGACTTTAGATGGTAGGGATTTAATGTTTAGTAGATCTGAGGGTTGGGAACGAAGAAACGATTATTCATAGCTCTTCATTAGTAAATATATAATTTAGTGTTCATGGGATTGTGTCTATGTGATACTGAAGGGGAGAGAGCAAAGTGATTGAACGAAACGGATGAATCAATCATGGAGGGAGATGTGGACAAGAAAGGTGTCGTATGCAGAACACGGAATTGACCAAAGATCCGTAAAAAAAACTTGTAAATAGGGACTTTAGATGGTGGGAACTTAATGTTTAGCAGATCTGAGGGTTGAGAATGAAGAAGCGGTTATCCACCGCTCTTCATTAGTATATATATATATATATATATATATATATATATATATATATATATATATTATTTTAACACATCTCACAGACGTTCTTTTTCACCCAAACGAGTTCATACTTATTGATTTTCTCTCTATTATTTCAAATCGGAACCATAAAAATACAATAGAAGTTGTCATTCTATCTTCTTTTATTTATTTATTAAACTCGGAAACATACAAGATTTTCATATAGCATTACATCAATATTTGGACAAATGTATTTGAGTAACATAGAATCACATTCGACTAGTTTACAAATCTGAGAAGACATAGTTATCATCGCACAACGAATGAGAAGGCAAACAGACAGTAAGTTGTGCCGCTAAACCTTTTTGTATGGTAAAACCAATTCTCTTGAATAATACATCTATAGATCTAGGGGATATAACATTGCTATGCATGATCCGTTGTACTCTACTATGAAGCTTCACTGCATCCGGTGCAATGAAACCAAACGTATCAAAAGCAAATGATATTAATACGTGTTGATTTTCCTTGCATGATTTCTCATGTTAGGTGACCTTGCATGTGACAGCTTTTAATGCTGCTTGTCTCCCCGTGAAACCCCAGAGTCTCATATAATATATATATGTTTCTATATTTTCTGTTATTTTTTTATGATATCGGAAACCGGGATGATTCCCGAATCAAAGAAGCCGAGAAAAGCTGAAATATAGTTTTGAAACTAATTTTTTTCAAATGATTAAAGAGAAAAAAGAAATATTATATGTAAATTTTAAAAACTCCGGAATTTAAGAAATTTCTGTTGAAGTTTGTTTAAACAAAAGTGAAAAGTGAAAAGTGAAAGTTGGTTAGGAGACGAATTCTTTAAAAGTGAAAAAGAGAAGTTAGCTTTTAGTTATCGATCCAATTCCCATGACCAAGGGCCAACGGTATCCTTTTCCCATACCATAATTCTCCAAATATAAACCAACGTACAAATCATGATGCGTAATTTACAGCTGTAATGCAATCCCAGTTATCTGGATACGGAGGTTTGAGAAGATAAAAGCTTATTCAATATTAAACCCCACAAACAAGGGCCTACTGTTATGGGAATCTTAACTGACCCGACCCTTTGTAGGACCCATCTCCACAACCCTTACGCAACATCTTCTCGAAAACTCTATAAATAAGATGCTAATCTCACCATGCTTAGGCTTGAAGAAGCAAACAATCTTCATTCTTCAAAACATTTGAACCGATTCGAAAATGGTGGGACCTTCTCTCAATGCTCCGAAGCCTCCGACCACAGCCGCAACAATCAAATTCCTGTGTAGTTATGGCGGGAGGATTCTTCCTCGGTATCCTGATGGCAAGCTTCGGTATCACGGTGGCCAGACACGTGTACTCGCCGTTGCTCGCTCCATCTCGTTCTCTGGTTAGTGATTGATTTTCTTGTTTGAATTCCATAGAGTTAATGTATGTAATAGATGTGGATTGCTGACTGAGATTTAATTTACTTGTGATTTACAGAATTGATGGCGAAACTTGGTGAATTGTGCGGGAAGACGGCGAGTTTAAGGTGTCAATTGCCGACGGAGGATTTAGATGCCCTTGTTTCCATTACATCTGATGAAGATCTTGTGAATCTCGTTGAGGAATATGATCGAGCAGCTTGTCTACAATCATCATCTCTCAAAATTAGAGCGTTTCTATGTTTTCCAAAGAAATGCTCTCCGACTCCTTCCACCGCCTCTGCCTCTGGATCTGGATCTAGTTCTTCCACAGGCACACCTACGCTTGAGGCGGCGTCACCACAACCTCCTTCTCCGTCCTCTTTTTATCCGGCTTCGAGGTTTCCTGTTAGCGCCACAAATCCGTGCATCCATACAGCACCGTTGAAACCACCTGTAAAACTTCCATTCTGCTACAACAAATCCGCCGGAAAGCTTCCTTGTAATCCGTATAGAAATTCCAACCGGTTTTGTCTCGTTCACAATGGAAACCATTGGCAATAACAGTTTAAGATCCGGAAGAGAAAAACTTTGGTATCGTGAAGTTCATATAAACAACCAAAATCAATACATCTAATAGAGTATGAAACGGTAATATAACGGAGAAAATTGAAAAACAAGGAAATGATGAGAGATATTGGATATGTGATGTATGATTTGGACTGTAAATAATATTAAGATTCGGATCGGTATTTTCTAAGATCCTGGAATGAATTTAAAAAAAAAAAAAAATCTTAAGTTTGGATCCAAAAATATTAAGATTCGGATCGGTATTTTCTAAGATCCTGGAATGAATTTAAAAAAAAAAAAAAATCTTAAGTTTGGATCCAAAATTTCCTTTTGGTGAATGCATCGTCAGTTTTTATCTTATTTCGATTATCTTCTTCGTCGATTTTCTCCCGTTGCTTGTCGCCTCCATAACCTCATCTGATCTGATCTGTCTCAGGCTCTCTTTGTCTTTTTCCGATGAATTGATGATCAGATTTTTGTAATGTTTCGTGACTGGTTATTATCATTATCTTCTTCCACCATTACCCATTACAACATCTCCACGTACATATACTTGTTGCGTGTTCGTATCATTAGTTGTTCTCATCTAACTGTTGTTTGTCTGGTTTGTTTTCTTTCCAACATCACCTTCCTGATCTTATCTTTTTTCAATTTAAAAATATTTCTGGAATCATTGCAGGTTCAGGAATCAGGACATTATCTTTCGCTGGCAATTCCATGGAGATATGATCATCCAAAGCTGCTTGCAGGTACACCTCGTAACGATAACATTCATTCCGTGGGGGTCCGATTCAGCTGCATCGATAAAACGAACGATCAAAAACAAAGTAAAAAATTTCATTTTTTGCATATTCATATTTCATTTTCTGTCGATATTGATACAACTTTTTTTTTTTTTTTCTATTATTATCCGAGAAATTGTCGTAATTTATGTTATAGCAAATATAGCATGTGCTTTACAACAGATTTATCAAAAAGTTATTTATTGTTGAGAATTTACTAAATTTAGTTGGTTTATTTTGTAGCTGAAGTCATCAAAGTATATGAGGAGTCGATTGTTTTGGGTGGAATATTATTAAATGGAAAATAGATGATATTTTGGTGGGTCATTTTATTCTGATTGAAGATTTGTATGGTGGGTTTTGCGGTTTGGAGTTTTTGGAGTTGGGCCATTTTTAAGTGGTGGGAGTCGGAAAGCGTGGCACGACCGTTGTTATAAATATAGAATATTCTATTTGGGAAAACGAAAAATCAAAATTGGTGGAAAGGTAGCAATTGGAATTGGAAGGGATAGCCCAAAAATACAGCAGAAAGACAACTGAGATTGAGAGTTTGAGACTATTGAGAGACTGAGAATAAGACTGAATTTAATGAGACAAAATATAAGATCAAATACCAAACTCCTATGGCTTAAAATATAAGGAGTATATGGTAAGATGTCATTTAGCCTGTGAGTTGATAGTTATAATAATCTAATCCTACTTAGTATAAAGTGCAGATTTAAGACGGGGTAAGTTAGAGTGACGTTTGGTTCGCAAAATGTTTTGGAATGAATGAAATCTATCAAATGAATTGGAATATGAAGGAATTAGAATCTAAATGTACAATGCGGTTGGTTGACATGGAATGAAATATGTTTTCTGTTTGGTTTGCTGATTTTAGAAAAGAATAGAAAAATAAATTTTGTAATAAGATAGAAATACCCATAATGATTTTTGTTACTAGTTATATTTTTTAATAAACACGACCAAGTTTTATTTAATTACAACATTTTTTATTGAACTCTTCTACAAAATTTAAATTAAAAAAATAATTATCACGTATTTTGTTGAACACATACATGTTATATGTTTTTGATATGTGGTTTATTTCCCGTATATATTTATAGTAACCTGCACACCGTGATAAAAAACCATGTATTAAGTCATAAAATCATTCCATAGTTGATAATGTTGTAAAATTGGATCATTAACAATTTGAATTGTTGCAAGTTCAATTGTAATTAGTTGGTACATGCTATTAGTATAAAAAGAAATTAACTGGTCGTTTCAAAAAACAAGTTTATCAAATAGAAATGTAGATGAAAGTAAAAAACTAAACACTTTGTCAATTTGATTTTGTGAAATTAGTCGTTATTAATTATGGATTCTAAATAATTTAAGGATTTTTATCTCAGCTTCTACAAGAAAACAAACATAAATGGTAAAAAGATGGAACAAAAAAATATTCATGTAAGCAAAAAAGAAAAACAAAAAACAGAGGCAAAAATCACATAGATTTTTCTTTTTCTTTTTTTTTAAAATTTTTTTTTATCTCATAGTAGTAGGAGGATGATTGTGTAATTTAAAATAAAGATAAAGAATTGAATTTACATTCTTGATGCACGGTGAAAGAATTAGAATCTTAAATGGTAATTATGGAAATCTAATTTCATTCGTTTGGTAACCCAAACATAATCTCCAACAAATTTTAATTTTTAATTCCTACCAATTCCTTAAGAATTATGTGAAACAAACCCACCTAGAGATATTGTTAATTTTATTTTAGGAGAAGAATGAGAGATGGAGAATTGGCTATAAATAAGCATCGTATTTATTGTATGGAGAAATCGAAGGGAACCTCTCTCCATTCATGTATCATTCACGTAGAAGAAGACATTTAAGAATTTAGAATATCTTTGCTCCAAGCCCTCCAATATTTTAAACTTTGAATGCATGCTAACATAAGATCCTATGTGCAACTTAAAAAAAATACTAAATATCATAATATATTTTATTTTATGGATGTGGGGAATCAAAGAGAATTCAGAATGGTGATATTTTTATTTATGAATTTGATTAATCTATTTAAAAATAAGATGATTTGATTCTTAATTTCTTATGCAATTCGTTACGATTCTTTCTTTTTAATTAGAGTGAGGATATAAGAATCAAATCATTATATTTTGAAGTGGATGAATCAAAAATCTAAATTAAAATACCACATTCCAATAAAAAACTTAAGCATTTGAAACCGATACCGAGAGACACCAAATGTTAATATATGGTTGCAAGAATGAAAAAGTAGCATCCTTTTGAAAGTTTATCAATTTTTTTTACACTTTAATAATAGTCAAAAACTTATGGGAAAATGACTTATAAGGGTAAGAAAGTTTTAAGAACATTCAAAAAAGACCACCGAATTTTTGCATCTTCAAAAAACATCATTCAAGTATAGGCTCTGTATAAAAAACACCATCAAATTATAGCTTTTGTTCAAATCCCACCTAGTGGTAACCGGTTTTTGTGGGTTACCTGATGATTTAATATCCTGTTTTGAGAAGTTTCTTATTTCGGGATCATGGTCAATAAATGGATCAAATAATGGTCTTGGGCTTTAAAGGAATAGGGTTTAGACCCAATTGGATGTAGATAACAGGCCCGACCCTAAAGGGATGCAGGGTGTGCAACTGCACAGGGCCCCGGAAAAAATAGGGCCCGAATTTTAATAAATTTATATAATTAATATACGGAATCTTTATATATATTTATTTTACGTACAAATACAACCAAATTACTTGTAGTTCAGCCGGTTGGGTCGTCGCCTTAGGTGCAACTGTTTTAAATCCACCAGGGTTCGATTCCTTGCTCTAGCGCTTTGTTTTAATTTTTAATCAACCAACTTTCCAATTTCGCATTATAATATATAGACATTTACGTAGATAGTTAACAAAGTATCTTGTAGAAAGTGGTGTCTTAATTTGTATCCAAATAACGTATGTTCGAATCTTGTTACCTTCAATTTTCTTTGTTGTTTTTAAAAATAATTAGTTTTCTTATATTTAAGGGCCTTTTTTTTTTTCTATTCTCCGCATAGGGCCCTTAATATCAAGGGACCGGCCTTGGTAGATAATACTGGTTATGTGATCCAAGCTCTCGGTTCGTGTGTTGGTGTCAAAGGGTAAAATGAGAAAGTGATGTTTCAGACTTCTTTCATAAATTAAGGATTTTAATTCGGTATATTTTAAGTTAAAGGAAATTAGATAGGATTGTGGGACTCTTCAATACCTTCCCATGCATATAAAGAATGCCAAAAAACGGAGCTGAAACAAAGAAGTTATAGTTGTTTGAAATTGAAGTGGAATTCGGGATTTTGAATTACGCAAGGCGTACACTAGGTGCACGTTGGGCGTAATTCATTAAATGGACCATGGACTTCGTCGAGTATGTTGGGCGTACGTAAGGAGTACGTAGGGCGTACTTATGTAGATCCCAAACCCTAAATTTTAGGTTTGAGCCCCTATTTAAGAACCTTAAGTCCCTTGAGGTCTCTCCATGTTCAACCTCCATCCTCCCCAAGCATTGTTTCGAAACCCTAATCCTTTAATAGCTTGTGTAAGCCTCTTTTGAGCGTTCTTAGTGCATATTGAAGGAGTATAAGTCTTTCTTTTAGGATTGTTGTGGCTAGAGATTGAAGATCCAAGACTTTCATCTCTTTTGCAAACTTCTGGAGGTATAAAGTTCTCACCTTTATGGTTATATGGCTTAGATCTAGACCAACTTAGAGTTTTTCATGCTTTTGGTCCCATGTTTTGGTTCTTGTGAGTAAAAGCTACTTTAGAGCTTGTAGTGGTCATATCTTGTCATTTCTGAGGAATTAAGTCATAAAAATGGGGTCTTGATGGTTGCTTTTCACCCATGCAAGGTTTTGAAGTCATTAAACGTGATTTGGACCTAGGGCTTGAATTTATGCTCCATTAAGTCATACAAAAGCTTAAAGTTGACGACTTTATTAGTTAAGACCTTCCCTAGATTAAGATATGTGTAGTTGGATGTTTAGTCTTAATGAATTAAGAGCTTAAAAGTGGGTTTTGGCATCAGATGGATTACACAGGGCGTAACCCCTTAGTACGCAGCGCGTATCGGGGTTGCCCCGTTTTCTTTTTCTAGGAAAATTTAGTACGCAAGGCGTAAGGGAGGAGTACGCAGGGCGTACTCCAGAATTGCTCTTGGGCC